TTTTTTTTTTTTTGTTTTTTTTTTTTTTTTTTTTTTTTTTTTTTGCCCATTTTTCCAAAAGCACAGTTGCTTTTTCTTATTAACTTGGAGGACAACATTTTTTTTTTCCTAGATACGAATTGACTTAAGTATTCCATTCAGATTCTCCTTTATAGTTTGTATTTTAAATTATTTTGTCATGTAGGAAGCTTTAATTTTAATGTGGCCAAATTTATTCATCTTTTCCTTTATGAGTTTTGGTGCTTGTTTCCTGCTTTAGAAATTAAATCTTCCTCCTAGGTTTCTAGCCTTTTCTCCTCATACCTTCAAAGCAAGTCAGGTAATAAGGAGATCTTTGAACCTGTTATTCCCACTGCCTGAGGTACTTTTCCCTGGGATGGCCATGTAATTTACTCCCTCACTTCCACTGGGCCTCTGTTCAAATGCAATCTTGTTAGAGAAGCCTCTTCTCACCTTTATTCTGATTTTTTTTCTATAACACTGTTTTTTAAAGAAATTTCAGATTGTATACATTTTACAGTTCACTGTCTTTGTTCTAGCACTACAATTTTAGCTCCAAAAGGGCAAGAACTTTGTTTCATCCACTGTCTTACCCAGTACCAACAATTCTTTGATGTAGATATTATCATCTGTTTACAAATAAGGAATCTGAAGCCCAGAGAAGTTTAAACAACTTGCTCAAAGTCACAAAACTAAAGAGTGAAAGATGCAAAGCAAAAAAGCACAAAAGTAATGAAGTAAGATGTCAGGATTAAATGAAAATGATAACAAGCATTAGGCAAAGAACATAATTGCTAGCCCAGTTTCAGCATGAAACATCTTTATGCTGAGCATAAAAATCTTTTTCATAAAGAGCATTCAAATACATTTTACTACTCCATAAATATATTCTAGATTTTACAAATAAGTTTGCAATAACTTACAAAATTGCCATTTCAAACATGTCTATGATTTTACCTTTATATCACTTATGTTTCACACTGCTTTAAATCACATTTTTATAATTTACTATTTTTGTCGGGAGCAAATGCAGTAACAATATAGTATTTTTCAAAGTATACAAGTTAAAAAAATATGCAAACTCCCTATCAACAGGGCGGAAAGGGACCAGAAACCCCAAGTCTAGCATCAAAATTTTAAGATTTCAGCATGTCGAAAACCTCAGCAAATCATCATTTATAATTAATTATATGTGCCAGAAGTATGCCCATGAACTCCACTCCTATAAAGGTATTCCCAAATAAGACAAAATACAAAATACTAAAAAATTTAATATACATACAAAAATCTATTTTAGAATAATTTACAAAGTGAAAAATTAAAATGTAAATGTCTATAACATATGGGACATTTTTGTAATAGGTTAACTAGCCATATAAAAAATTCACAAAAATTCTTAATAACAAAGCAAGATATATTAATTTTGTCACCATACCAAATGAAAAGATGTATATGTATGTATAATACGTAGAAAAGTATGTATAAAACCTTGACTCCTTTGAAACAAATACAAAGAAATGATTGCAGGGAGTGAAAGATAAAAACAGTAACTGTTCATGGGTGAGTTAATAAAATTGTGGATTTTTGTTTTCTTTATTGACCACAGCCTACAGGGCAGAAACTGGCAAACTTTTTCAGTAAAGGGTCACAAAGTAAATATTTTCCAGCTATGCAAGTCATATGGAGTTTGTTGCTATTACTCAACTCTGTTGTTGTAATGCAAAAGTAGTCATAGGCAATACATAAATGAATGGGTGTTTCTGTGTCCCAATAAAACTTTATTTACAAAAATAGCAGGCAGGATGGATTGGGCCTGAACTGGTCCTAGTTTGCCAACCCCTACTGTAAAGGTTTTAAGGTGGTATCAAAAACACTGTATACCATTATGTCTCACTGG